TGCCCAAGGCAGTTCCCGTAACAGGGGCAGGTCTGGCCAAGGGCGGGAGGCCACTGCTTCCATTCCTCCACCTGCGGAGCTGGGGGCTGTGGCTGCTGGGTGGGGCACCGTGCACACTCCCTCAGGCCCGCTGGGGTGTGGCCGCTGCTCCCTGGGGGTTCCCACCGTGTTTGTCCTGAATCCTCGCAGTGACATTTCTTCAACACGTCCGTCACCCCCGCGGCTGGCCGGCCACTGCACCTTACGGCTGCACACGGGAGCCTGGAGCCGAGGGCCGAGAGCCCTTGGGTGGGGCGGGGGACTCAGGGAGCCCCCTGGGTGGGGGGTGGGAGTCGTGGTGGAGGCAGGGGGCAGGGCCTGAGTGCGTCTTCCCCCCGGTCCGTCCCTGGAAGGGGGAGATGTGGAGGTGCCGAGCCTCCCGTTGGTGGCGGCTGTGGGCTCCCGGGGCAGAGCGAGGAGCCCGGGCGTCTCCTCTCATGGACCTGGTGCGGGAGGCAGGAGCTGGGAGTTCCCACTTGAGGGTCAGCTCCTGTGCTGTGACCACGTGTGCCTGAAGTCCTGGCAGCAGGTGTTACAACCGCAGGGGCTGGTGTGCGAGGGAGCCGCATCCCCCTGAGCCACCCCGCTAGGGCGCTCTGGGGTGAATGTGGTGGGGCGGGCTGTGATGGAGCTCAGAATGTAAACCTATTAATTATCCCAGCCGCCCCGCGGGTGGTCTGGCTGCAGTTCCAGGCTCTGGCCACAGGAGGGCGGCACTTGCGACATGATGCGCCCAGCCGGTGCTTGGCTGGTTTCTCATCGTCCACCCCAGAACAACCAAGCACCGGAGTTCTTAGGATTAGTTCTCAGAGCAGTTACAGGCAGGGCCGGGAGTGGTTTCCAGCTGGAAGTAGCCCTGGAAGGCTGTCTGGAGGAGGTGGATCTTGGATGGGCCCGTGTCAGGCCTCAGCAAGTCCGTTCACAAAGACGTTACTTGGGTGCCCATTGTGCAGTGCCGTGGGCAAGACCCGGCAGGAGCTGGGCCCCCCGGGAGCTCACGGCGGGTCGGGCGGAGAGGGTGCTTCCATACATCGGTGTGGCACTGGGGACAAGGGGAGCCGCAGGTCCAGACGTGTCTCACCAGTGGGCCTGCAGGGGGCTCTGAGTTCACCTGTGGAAGGGGTGGCATTGGCCATGACCGTCCGAGGGCCTCGCCTGGGCGTTCTCCACCTGTGCTGAGAGAAAGCTGTAGCCGTGTGTGCCTGTGTGTGCGCGTGTGTGTGCATGAATGTGTGCACACGTGTGTGCATGCATGTGTGCACGCATGCGTGCACTGCGTGTGCATGTGTGCCTGTGTGTGCCTGTGTGTGCATGCGTGTGCACGTGTGTGCATGTGTGCCTGTGTGTGCATGCATGTGTGCAGGCGTGTGTGCACGTGCATGTGCATGCACACGTGAGACGTGGGCAGAGCAGCTAAGAAGGCAAACCCACGTTTCACCCGTCTGAACACCGGCCTGTGCTTAGACAGACAATTTTATATTAAAGTTGGGACAACGAGAACGCCAATTTAACAACAGGTGTGAGTGGAACCTGTGCCGTCTGCACAACACAGTCAAACACACGCATCACAATGTTACCTTTGTGTGTTTAAAATAACTGTCCCGGGGCTGGTGAAGCCTCTGCCTGCAGCACCAGCATCCCAAACAGGCCCCGGTTCGAGGCCCGGCTGCTCCACTTCCAGTCCAGCTCCCTGCTAATGCGCCTGGGAAAACAGTAGAAGATGGCTCAAGTCCCTGGGCCCCTGCAGCCGCATGGGAGACCCAGAGGAAGCTCCTAGCTTTGGCCTGGCCCAGCTCCGGTTATTGCAGCCACCTGGGGAGTGAATCAGAAGATAGAAGATCTCTCTCTCTCTCCTCTCTCTCTAACTCTGCCTTTCAAATAAATTTTTTAAAAAATCTTAAAAAGAATACAACCATCCCAAGTGGATGGATCCACTGCTTTCGACAAGGCAGGTGACGGGTTTCCGTGTATTTGTCAACAGCACGGTGACGAGAGCTGGGGTGACGCAAGCTTGCAGTGACTGTCTCGGTCCCCGGAGACGTGCAGCCCCGAAGCCCTGGGACCCGAGATCGCGCGTCCTTCCGTGGCCGAAGGGATCGCAGGTGCAATTACAGGTGCTGATCAACTGGACGGGCACAGGGTCTGGACGATCAGGCGGCCCCAGTGCAGTCATAAAGATTCTGAAAAGCGGGGCGTCCCCGGGGCAGAGGCGGACAGGGCTGGCAGCTGAGGGGCGCACGCAGGAAGCAGTCCTGACCGTTCCCGGCGACCCTGCCAGCCCCACATCTGACGTCCGACTCTACTCTGCAAAGCACAGAGCACCAGGTTGCACAGTGCAGCAGCCACGGGGAAGCCACGGGGAAGCCACGCAGCGCCTGCACCGCACGAGCCGGCCTTCATGGGGAAACACTTCCCTGTCCGGTTGACACACAGAGCTCTGTGGCTCAGCGACACCAGGTGCTCCGGGTGGGTGAGGTTGGGAGGGGAGCCCTGGGAGCCAAGGCAAAGCCGTGGGTGCTGAGCGGACGTGGGGTCCCGGGGTTACCTGTGGACCCTTCCCGCGCCTGGGTGAGCTCGAGCAGGACGACTCAGGGTGCTGGTGGGCGGCTCTCGCCTCGGGGGGGCAGAACTGGCTGGAGGTGCACCCGCCCGGGCCCACCCCCCCCCCAGCCAGCTGGTTCCAGCCGGGGCAGCATCCGGGGAGGGGTTCGGGTTGAGGCCGCCCCCGCAGGACTTGGAGACTGGGGCGGGGCAGGGGGGCAGTGCTGCTGCCAGAAATGCCCAGAGCCAGCCTGAGTCAGAGTCGCTGCGGAGTTTGCTGCTGGGTTTCAGGATCAAAGGAAACACCCAAGGGCCTGGCTTAGCCTTGACCTTGGGCAGGCAGGGCCCTTGGGAGCGGTGGGGCTGCGTGTGGAGGGAGCACAGCACTTTGAAGTCATTCCCTCCCCGGAGAGCGGCCCCTCCTCACCCCTGCTCTCCCCCCAACTCCCCTCCGCCTCCCGCTGCCTCCCTGCCCCCCACCTCTCTCCCTCCTCGCCCCTGCGCGTGGCTGCCGGGTGAAACCTCTCAGAACTGAACCAGGGCTGGGGAGGCCCTCAGTCTCCTCTAAGCACCATGTGTTTGCCAAAGCCCCTGAAATCCAGGAAGCCCGGAGGAAAACACGACCCCCGGCGGCGCTGTGAAGACCGCCGGCCGTCTCCTCCAGGCCCTGGTGCCGTGCGCGTGGCTGGGGCGTGGCCTTGTGCAGGGGCGCCCCCTACAGTTGTGCACCGCTCTTCCTGTGTGACGGGAGACCCCGCTTTCCCCAGGAAGCCCGCCGACGGTGGCCGAGTCTGGCCTGAGGACGCGCTGCCTCCTCCCCGTCTGGGTCACTCCCAGCTTTTCTTTCTCTCCGCAGCGGCTGCTGCCCGAGATCCACCGTCACCAACGGGTGAGAGTGGAAGTGTGCGTTCCAGGAAATCACGTCCAGGCTGTCTCTGCACCCCCTTTCCTCCGTGGAATACAGACGATGTGGCTGGAGCACCGGCAGCCATGTAGGCCCATAGATGACCTTGGGAAGAGGAGCCCTGTGCTGATATAAGGGTGGACAGTGGTGGGCAGCCGGGTCCCCCAGGGCACCCCGCAGTCTCCACAGCGCCCTGGACCACCTCCCTCAGCGTCTTGTGCGAGACAAACGCGCTCCTGTATCTCTCATTCCCTCGTGCCTCGGATGACGTCTGTCCAACGAACGCCCATTACCTAACAGTTCCCACTGAGAGCGGAGCAGGCCGGTGGGCGAACGTAGAGACGTCCCTGTCCCCAGGAGCGCTGGATCAGGGGAGCAGACAGGCACCTTTGTGGTTAGACTGGAGCAGGGACCCAGAAAAAAACAGGAAGTGAGGACGCAGGGCGGCCGGGGCAGGGGAGAAGTCGCCGCTCTGGGTGATGGCCGCTCCCAGGCCGTCCACCACGCCCCGCGTTTGTCACTGCCTGCAAGTTGGCCGCTGATTGGTTTGTGGGAGAAGCGATGGCGTCTGCCGCCTCCCACGTGCTGAGAGGAGCCGACCCCAGCAGGCTCGAGGAAGGGAGCACTGGACTCGCAAAGTCCGAAGCCCCAGGGGCGGGGCCAGGCACGGCTGAGTGTGCGTGCGCACCAGGAACCCGCCCCCGCCCCGTTCTCCCCGCACCTGCCTGTGCGGGCTCCGTGGGCTGCCCCCCGCCCAGCCCACCTGGGGGTGGGGGGTTGGCCTCTGCTGCTGCAGCTGACATCCCAGCAGTCCCAGGCAGTGTCCTGGGGTTCACCTGCCTGTTCTGGAAGCCACCCCGGGGCCGCTGAGGACCGACACGCGGCTGGTGGGAGCTTATGACGTCAGACCCTGAGATCTGGTGGAGTGGTGAGGGCGCTTACCCAGGGGGACCCCGGGAGCCCTTCCCAGGAGAGGGGCGCAGGATGCTGAGCCGGCAGGAGCGAGGACCCCACCCCAGCCCCCTGCGTCCTCCTCCTGGCCTCGCTGGCCCCTCAGCTTGCGGCCCCCAGCCCTGGGGGGGAGTCAGATGTGTTTCTTCTTAAGCTTTCCTTCTGCCCCTTGGTTGTTTGCTACACTTTTTTTTTTTTTTTTTTTTTGACAGGCAGAGTGGACTGTGAGAGAGAGAGAGAGAGAGAGAAAGGTCCTCCCTTTGCCGTTGGCTCACCCTCCAATGGCTGCCGTGGCCAGTGCACCGCGCTGATCCGATGGCAGGAGCCAGGTGCTTCTCCTGGTCTCCCATGGGGTGCAGGGCCCAAGCACTTGGGCCATCCTCCACTGCACTCCCGGGCCACAGCAGAGAGCTGGCCTGGAAGAGGGGCAACTGGGACAGAATCCGGCGCCCCGACTGGGGCTACACTTTTACAAATGAACACCCAACTGCATCAGGACCATGAATTATAAACGCGCGGTTCAAATGAGGTGAGCGATGGCACTGGGGGGAATCTAATTAGGCCGTTGGAGACGTGGGAGGCGGGGGTGTCGGTGTGCGGTGGTGGAGGAGCCTCCGGCCGGCTCGCCCGTCTATCCCGTGAGCTGGAAGCCGGCTCTGTTGGCGTCGACGTCAGAATTGGTCCCCGTCCAAGGGGGCAGTGCGGCTCCGGCACTGCTGGGGCACACCCTGGGGCCCCGCCGTGCCGGCCCTGGTCTCCTTGCACAGCTACTGGCCACCGTGGGTGCTGCAGCTTTGGGGGATTCTGCTCTCCAAAAGCACCGCCCCCTAGCGGCTGCCTCGCTGTGTTCCGAGGCTTTCATCCGGGTGTGCGAGCTGCCGGCCTGCCCCAGACAAGGTGGGCCGTCCTCGCCCTCCCGGGGCTCGCAGCCTCCGTCTGCTCCAGGGTGTTTGTCTTAGGGCCACGCTGGACAAAGGATGGTGGCTGTGAAGAAATCGTGTGGAGCTGGCAGCCGGGGAGCAGGCCCTGGAAGGGAGCCAGGTCTGCGAGGCTGGCCCCCAAAACCTGCAGACACTGCTGGGGAGCTCACCGGGGCTGGCTGTGAGTGGGGTGCCTAGGGGTCCCATAGGTTAAGACTTCCCGAGGAGGGGCTGGCACCGTGTGGTGAGCGGGTAAAGCTGCTGCCTGTAGTGCCAGCATCCCATATGGGCACTGGGTCTTGTCTCAGCTGCTCCCCTTCCAGTCCAGCTCCCTGCTGTGGCCTGGGAAAGCAGTAGAGGAAAGTCCAAGCGCTCGGCCCCTGCACTCGTGTGGGAGACCGGAAGAAGCTCCCGGCTCCTGGCTTCGGATCGGCACAGCTCCGGCCATTGTGGCCATTTGGACAGTGAACCAGCAGCTGGAAGACCTCTCTCTCTCTCTCTCTCTCTCTCTCTCTCTGCCTCTGCCTCTCTGTAACTCTGCCTTTCAAACAAACAAAAAGGATTCCTGAGGATATTCATGGAATCTGGGATTCTCCCAGGGGAAGTGGTCACAGAGGACTTGAGGATGACATGGCACCACTGGTTGATCCTGAGGCCCTCCAGAGGGCAGCAAAACCTCCCGCAGCAGGGCTACGCCCCCTGGCCACGACGCCAGAATCCCAGGGGCAGCTAGGGGGTCAGGACGCCCAAGGAGCCCAGGTGATGCTGTGTGGGGCAGGGATGGGTAAAGGATGTACCGCAAGGTGCACAGCGTTCTCTGGCATTCTTTTTTTTTTTTTTAAGATTTATTTTTTTATTTGAAAGAGTGACAGGGAAAGAGGGGAAGCAGAGAGAGAGAGAGGTCTTCCATCCACTGGTTCACTCCCCAACTGGCCGCAATGGCCGGAGCTCTGCCAATCTGAAGCCAGGAGCCAGGAGCTCCTTCTGGGTCTCCCATGCAGGTGCAGGGGCCCAAGGACTTGGGCATCTTCTCCTGATTTCCCAGGCCATAGCAGAGAGCTGGATTAGAAGTGAAGCAGCCAGACTCGAACTGGTGCCCTTATGGGATGCCGGCACTGCAGGAGGTGGCTTTACCTGCTACGCCACAGTGCCAGTCCCCCAAAGATGCATCTGGCATTGAGGTAGAGCCAGAGGCTCAGCCGCGGAGTGACCCATCCTGGTGGCCCCACAGCTGAGACGAGAGCGCTGACCCCCACTCACTCCACACGCAGAAGGCGTTGCTGTCACACAGCTTTGCAAGTCATTTCAGGGCTCTGCAGGGATGACGGTGCCATGAGCTCACATCGGCGGTGCACCTGCTGTGAGCCCGACACTGTGGGCAGCTGGTACTGATCATTGCATTTAGCTTTTGCAGCAGCTCTGGGGGTAGGCACCTAACCCGTGAGGAGAGTCTGCGGGAGGTTAAGGCACTGCCTAAGCCACAGGGCTGGTAAAGCCGGGGTCGGGATGGGAGTCCCACAGCCTGATGCCAGAGCCTGCACATGTGACGTCGCCTTCCGAAAGCTCCAGTCCTTCAGGGCTGCACAGCCGCACGGCGGCAAGCATGGGGGCCTCGGGACGTCCCGGGACTCGCAGCTCTGGATGGGGGATGGGGCCAGGAGCTGCTGCTGCAATTCAGGGACCAGCACCACACTCACCACACGAAGTCCTTCCATCCGTGAGCACGGCGCTTGTTTAGCTTTTCTCTTAGTAGTATTTTTTTTGGTTTTGGTTTTACAGGTTGCAGGATACATGTCTTGGTCCTTTCGTTAACTTTATTCCAAAGTATTCTTTTCGATGCTAGGTAAGTGAAAATGTTTTCTTCTTTAAGATGTATTTATTTATTTGAAAGTCAGGATTACAGAGAGAGGAAGAGGGACGGATGGAGGGAGAGACAGAGAGAGAGAGAGAGAGAGATTTTACATCCGCTGGTTCACTCCCCAAGTGGCTGCAGTGGCTGAGGCTGGGCCAGTCTGAAGCCAGGGGCAGGAGCTGCTTTTGGGTCTCCCACATGGGTGCAGGGCTCAAGCACTTGGGCCTTTTTCCCTGCTTTTCCAGGCCACAGCAGAGAGCTGGATCGCAAGTGGAACAGCTGGGATTCCAATGGCATCCATACGAGATGCCAGCGTTGCAGACGGTGGCCTCACCCGCTACCCCACCGCACCGGCCCCAAATTTATTTCTTAATTTCCTTTTTTGGATTGTTCTTTGCTAACATGCAGACAGCTAGTTAACTTTCGTATATTGATCTTGTGTCCTGTTACCTCTCTGAACTTGTTTATGGGCCCTCATAGTTTATTTGTAGATATATCGGGAATTTCTATGTGCAAAATCATGTCACCCTCCAACAGAGGTGGTTTTACTTCTTTCCTTTTAGACGCCTCTCATTTCACCTCCTTGCCTATTTCCTGGCTGGCACCTCCTCTACAGTGTAGACAAGGAATGGGCAGAGTGGACACCCTTGTCTTGTTCCTGATCTTTTGGGAAAGAACCCACTCTGTCACCGTCAAGTATGACGCTGGTCTTGAGCTCATCTGAGTCAGGAAGTTCCTCCTATTTCCAGAACGCTGAGTATTTTTTTCATGAAAGGGTGTCGACGACATCAGACGATTGTTCTCTTCCTATGAGAAGATGTGGCTTGTGCCCTCAGCTCTGTTCATATGCATTACATTGGTTTCCATGTGTGGCTCCTGGAGCATCTGCCCGGCTCACTGTGTCCCGTTAGACAAAGATTTCTTTAAATGTCCAGAACTGATAAATCTCCCAGTTTTTGCCGTGGAACTCTGTATGTTGAGTTCACAGTCACTACTTGGCCAGGAATCGGCGACTCTGCCTTAGCCTTCACTTCCTTCTCAAGGTTGGATATAAGCTTGGAGCTTGGAGCCTCCTCGGGTCTCTTCCAGGCGTGCACACAGCTCTACACACACACACACTCACACACACACACACACACAGCCTTCTCGAGTCTCGGAAATATGCTGGAGCCTTACAAAGCCCGTGGAGACATCTCCACCTGCTCTGCTGCTGTCAGCTGCCGGTTAGCACAGAGTTTGTCTCAATGGGTGTTCATTGTTGCAGGAAGCCAGAAAGCTAATCAATTATCCCAGTTATCCCTAGTTATTTTCAACAAACACTGGACTTTTCACACTGGGCAAGTTTCAAGCAAGGTCAGATAAAGACAGGCTTGCAAGCTCAGTCATCCAGGGACCCACGGATGAGCCGGGCAAAGGCAGTCCTCGGGAATGAGGCTCTGAGGGGCTCCGCCACCCGTCAGAGCCTGCCCAGCTGCTGGCTTTCAAGGCTAACTGCAGAGCAGGGACTTGGAAATGTGTCAAGTTCAAGTTCAAGTGCCATGGACTCGCTATTCTGAGGGAGAGTCCTGTGTTTTTCCTGAATGCACGCTCTCCAGATTGCTGCAAGCCTCTGGTTTGTTTCCAGGGTTCTGAAATGGTTGAATCTGGTGTTTTTGCCAGTTCTTCTCATGACTTTGATGGAATAGAGAGTTTCCCACTCTTGCTGACACCCGAGAGTTTTCTTTTATTCTCAGTAAATGAATCTGAATAGCCACCTGTGATTGTGGTACAAAGTCTCCCTTTTTAAATTTATGCACATAAAAAGTGAGTCGAGGAAGCCAATATGGAAAGATTCTGCACTGGTTGGTCCCAAGTACAGGACAATCTGGAAAAAAACTGAAACGGTAAGGACAGTGGAAAATCAGCGTCGGCAGGGGTTCGAGGGCAGGGTTAGGGATGAATGGGGGGCACAGGGCATTTTGTAGGGTGCTGGAACTGTTTAATCAGATACTGCAATGGGGGCTGCATAGCACTGGGTTGTCAAAAGCCCGGGGCACTGTACCCACCCTCCAGGGTGACCCCCAGCATAAAGCACCGGCATTATGGACAACCGTGGAGCGACACTGCGCCAGCAGCTATGACACGTGACGACACATGACCCACACTAATCCAAGACGCTGGCCACAGGGACGCGTGTGCCGGGAGGGAGGGGGCATGGGAGAACTCCTTGTACTTTCTGTTCAGTTTTTTTTTTTCCTTGTAAATCTGAAAGTACTTAACAAAGCAGGATGTGTTAAAACTTTTAAAGGGAGTTGATTTCAGGAAACATATTCTGGGTAAGAGGATGGCAAAAGGCCTGTGGGAGGTGCGTGGGTGATTGACACTTAGAAAACATCTACGATGTCTGCAATGCAAGATAATGGGGAAATTTAAAAACAAAACTATTTTATTAATAACTTGAGCCCCATTGCAGCTGCCTATGCGCGCCGGGTACAGCTGATTGTCACCTTCTGCTGTTTCAAAGGTTAATAGTTACTGGGGAAGAAACAGAAGACAGAAAGACAGAACCTTCTAGAACATCAAGGCTGACTTTCAGAAAGCTCCCTGGGAGGCGAGAGAGCGAAGGTTTCAGTCGAGACCCTGCGGGCTGTGGGAGCCACGGCTGGGACAGGGGACGCCCTTGGCTGCCCCAGAAAGCTGTAACCACCCAGCACCTGCTGAGGCCACGCTGCCTTTTTTTTTTTATTTGAAAGTCAGAGTTACACAGAGACAGGAGAGGAGAGAGAGAGAGAGAGAGAGAGAGAGAGAGAGAGAGAGAGTCTTCCATCTGTTGGTTCACTCCCCAGATGGCCGCAATGGCCGAAGCTGGGCCAGTCTGAAGCCAGGAGCCAGGAGCTTCTTCCAGGTCTCCCACGTGGGTGCAGGGGCCCAAGGACGTGGGCCATCTTCTGCTTTCCCAGGCCACAGCAGAGAGCTGGATCAGAGGAGGAGCAGCCAGGACTTGAACCGGCGCCCGTATGGGAGGCCGGCCCTGCAGGCAGCAGCTTCACCTGCTGTGCCACAGCGCCGGCCCAAGTCCATGCTTCTTGCTGGTGCCGTGAGCGGAAGACACAGACGGCTGAGGCAGGCTTGCCAGCCTGGGCATCACAGCGTCTCTCATCCTCAGCCCGTGCTGTCTGGTCTGTGCTAGGTCCTGCTTGGAACCTGGCAATGAACAGGGGACCTCTGACCTTTCACACGGAGCTTGGTGGAAGTCCAGAAAGCAAGGGGGCCTGCTGGTCAGGGTGTGGGAGAGCCAGGCGCAGGCTCTTCGTTTCCCAGGGTCACACGTCTAGTGACAGAGCATTGCCCAGGAGGGGCCCCCTTTCCCCTTCTACAAAACGGACGCAGTCCTCAACCTGTGGCAGAAGGCAGGTGCGGAGACACTCAGCAAGACCCTCCTTCCCGTGCATGGGGCGGGGCCGGGGCCGGGGCCGGGGCCGTCCTGCCTGGTACTGTATCCCGGCTTCCCGGCACGGTGCTCGGCTTGCAGTCGGTACCGCAGCCCGTGTGGGAGGAAGGAAGAAAGGGGAGGATGGAGGGAGCTTGTTCCCACCCTGTCCTGCTCTCGGGCTGCAGCACAGGTCCTGACCCCCGGGGGCCTGCTGCCAGCCTTCGTCCCTAAGTAGAGCGACAGGGACGGTCTACTCTGTCCCTGCGTAAGAGCGACAGGGACAGTCTACTCTGTCCCTGTGTAGACAGAGCGCCAGCCCAGCGCAGGCTGTCCTGTCCTCCACTGGACTCACTTCTGTCAGCACCGGCAGGACACTCAGTGAGGGGCTTATGCCAGGGCATGGGACCCCGTGTGAGGAGCCCTGAGGCTGCCCCCACTTCCACCTGCCAGCCGGGGGCCTCGCTTCAGGCCTGTGCAGGAACGTTCTCCCCCTTTTGCCTCCAACGGCAGAGCCCTGGTGAGGGCCCTCGTGATGAAGCCGCAGGCTGAGTACCAGTCGATGCCGGACGCCCATCCATCGCCACTGGCCCTGGTGCCTGGGTCTCCGACGTTTGGGAAGCAAATGCTGGAATCCAAAGCGACGTCGTCCGCCTGTGTCTCGCCACGGCGTAAGTACTCAGCAGGGCTGCCAGGAGGGACGGGTGCTCTGTGGTGGCCAATCCTGTCCTTTCCCGCTGCCCACTGGCTGCAATCGCCCCTTGGGCCTCGAGCAGGAAGGCCAGCCTCAGCCTTGTGTGATGCCCCGTCTGGTTCTGTCTCCCTGCCTGGACAGGAGAGCAACACGGAAAACGTGGGACGTGATGGCCCGGGGCTGGCCACACACCTGCAATGTGCCAGGCACGGTGGGAGGGGCTGGGCGCTCCACAGGGAGGCAAGGCCTGGACCCTCGTTCTAGCTCAGCCACCTCGGAGCTGGGGTGGCTTTGGCCGAGTCCCTTAGCTCCGTGTCATGGCTGCAGCACCCAAGGCCCCAGGCAGGTCTGAAGCTGCCCCCCTGCCCTCCCCCAGGGCCCAGTAGCATCATGAGCTGAGCTGTGTGGTTGACGCTGTGTGACTTGGGGAAGTGGCTTTACCTCTCTGTGTCCCCGTGTCCTTGTCTAGGCGAGGGTGGTCATTACAGAGCCTTGCTTCGGGTGGCGAGGGCAAATGCGTGAGCCTGTGCAAAACACAGAACGGCAGGTGCTTAATCAACACAGGCTCGTGTTGTTAACGGCCGCAGGACTACCACAGCCCACGCTTAAAGCGCTTGGTAAATGCAGGCTCGCATTGTTAACGGCCGCAGGACTACCACAGCCCACGCTTAAAGCGCTTGGTAAATGCAGGCTTGCATTGTTAACGGCCATAGGACTACCACAGCCCACGCTTAAAGCGCTTGGTAAATGCAGGCTTGCATTGTTGACGGTCATAGGACTACCACAGCCCACGCCTTTAGCAGCCGACACGGGACTGTGTGCGTGCCCGGACCTATCTGAAGATCCTCCTCCTCCCCTCCCCCACTCCTCCCCCCCTTCCTCCCCCTCCTCCTCCCCCCCTCCTCCCCTCCTTACAGTTCCGAGCTTCCCTGGTCCTGCGCCGTCTCAGCCGTGAATACAGGGGCTGTGAAGCAGGGGCCAGTTACTGGGGTAGGCATCATGGCAGACCTGGTGCCTCTGTCCTGGAGCCAGGAGCTCCCCAGAGCTGACTGCCCCATCTCCTCTGGGAAGGTCCTTGGCACCGTGGCCCTCCCTGGTGACTCCCGTCCGCCGCCTGGTCCCCTTCATGGCATCGTGCTGCTGGACGTTGTGGCATGCGTGGGTTCATTTTGTGTCTTCAGAGCCCCAGCATCCTGGCCACACAGCAGGTGCTTATGCGATGCCCCGGGTGGTGTCTGACTCGGTCCTGGGCAAGCAGCGTAAACCGCCGTGGTTGGAGACGGGTGACGAGGGGAGAGGCTGGGGCAAGATGTGACACCTGTGCTACCAGCTCCTGTGTGGCCACCCAGACCCTCGGGGCACAGCTTCCGTTCTCCCTGCTCCCTCACTCTGCCCGGGGGGAGGCTGGCCAGGACATCACGTCATGGGTTCCCATGACCTCTGCCTCGGCTGGGTGTGGCCAATGACGGATGCATCCGTGTGCCGGTTCAGTCGCCCTCAGCAGGGGTGGGGACAAGCCCATCTCCTCAACCCCGTGGAGGCTGGGGGATTATGGTGGCCTCTAGATCCCCGTACCCCTCCCTTACTGAGTCGTTGGCCCCTGTGGACCAGAAAGTGGGCATGGCCCGAGGCCCTTTGCAAACCGAGTGCCCTGTGGGTGGACTGCATCATTGCCGACAACAGGGGGGCCTCGGGGCTCGGTGCTAAGGGACTGCCTGTCATTTCCCCGGCGCACGCGCTCTGCTCCTGCAGGCACAGCCGCCCAGTCCTCCCCGGCACCCTGGGCAAGGCACAGCCTGCGGGCCGGAGCTGGGGCAGTAGCTCTGGGGCCCCCGGACCTGCATCTGTGTCTTTCAGGAAATTATTGTATTGAAAGACAGATACACACACACACACACACACACAAAGAATGCATGCATGCATGAATGAACGAATCAGAAAGACACACCGAGAGCTCCTATCCACTGATCCACTCTCAAATGCCCTTAACGGCTGGGGCTGGGCCAGGCCACAGCTGGGAGCCCAGAACCCAGACTAGATCTCCCATGGGGGTGGCAGGGATCCAGTCACCTGGACCTCACCTGCTGCCTCCAGGGGTGAGCATTAGGAGGAAGCTGGAGGTGGGAGCGGAGCCGGGATTCAAACCCAGGCACTGGTGTGGGACGCAGGTATCCCAGGCAGCGTCGTAACTCCTGGGCCAAATATGTGCCCCTGGGTTTGAGTCCTGATCCCACCTCTGTGGCTGCGAGGCCTCCGGTGACACCACACTGATCTGTCTCAACATCAGCCGCCTGTGGGAGGAGGCGGGACCGCCCACTGTGATGGCCACGTGAGGAGTGGCAGGTGTGAGTGTGCTGGGTCCCTGTGCCCCCCCGGCCCATACACCCCACGGTGCACGACGCCCTTGTCAGTTAACCCCTCGCACTTTGCCAGCACAGCAGGTCTGCTCTGGCCTCAACTGCAACCCAGAGCCCCCAAGCCAGCGAGAGCATTTCACACGCGTGTGTGTGTGCCGCCCTGCCCACACGCCTGCCTGCTCCTCTCTGTCCCACAGCCCGTCCGCCTGATGAACGGCCGTAATAAGCCACCAGACGGGACGCCGGGACCCACGGCTACAGCAAATGTGTCTGTGTTCGCCTTCACCAATCACGACTTTGTGCTGCCGCTGGGCCTTGGGCTGGGAAAAGTAAGTGACAGCTCTCTGCTTTGTCTCTGGCACCCTGAGCTCTGCTCCCAGGTGTCCTCTGTATGGGAGCGTGTGCGGGGAGCTCCTCTATGAGGCACCTCCAGGGGCTGGCAGCCACCCCCATGCCAGGCAGGTGCGCCTCTGCCCTCGGCTGCACCCCTCCAGAAGCCGCAGGCCCCCTCCCACCTTCCAGCAGGTGGAACGCCCTTCTCCCGATGCAAATCTGATCAGATTTCCCCAGGTCAGCACACACCCATCTCAGGTTAGAGACCCCTGCTTCTGCCCTGGAGTCCCCGGGAGCTGGCCCAGCACCTGCAGATGTCCCAGAGGCATGGCTTAGCCTCCCCGGCCCCGGGCTCCGCCACACCCTCTGCTCTTGTCCCCAAGGCCTGGGCCTCAGCCTGGACCCCTCCCCATCAACCCTGCCATTGGCTCCCGTACTGGAGGGCGGTCCCTTCTGGACCTGCTGGCCAGGCCCCATCCTCCCCGACGACCTCCAGGAGGTCAGGGAGCTCCCCCGTTAGCAGCAATTTTCCGTTGCACATGTGTTTCTTTGATCTCGATCTCTGCAAATGGACCGAGAGGGCAGCACGTGGTCTCAGGCTGGGCTCTTTGGAAGCAGATGCTGAGGTTTCTCGGGGACCAGCAGCTGTCGAGGGAGCTCATCGCCCTTCACAGCACCCATCGCGCTCACAGATCCGTGTCCTCAGGGCTCGGCAGAGGGCGCAGAGCCAGCCGGGCTGCCCCATTCCACCGAGGGGGTTGGGGTGGGGGTGGAGCCGCGGCCAAGGCACCAGAAGGTGCCTTCCTCGGGCACCGCATGGCCCGGCACCGCCTGGGACGTCCCAGAGGAGAGAGGTGAGCAAGAGTCCGTAGCAGACCGGTTTGTGATCCGTTACCGTTTCGTGAGCAGCTGGCTGCGTTGATTCCAAGTGCCTTCCCCGCTCTGTCGCCTAA